CAGTGTATTTGTCCCTAGGGTAGACAATACTAAAGATTTAGAATGCACCAAGTTGGGTGCTGATGCGGTCAGACATTTAGGCTTGCATGGTACCCATCTGGGGAGGTACTGACAGTAAAGCTGAGTTCTACAGCACCAGTCTGGAAGAATGTTTCTCCTTGCCTTCTTTGTCATGAGCCTCAGTCAGAGTTGTGTTTGCTCTTGGAACTTCAGGGCTTTCCAGCCCTGCTGGTACTGGAGAAGTTCTTTGCCTCTACCGTACCAAGCTGAGATGTTGAAGCTTGTGAGAGGTCTTTTAGGAGGAAGTTCCTTAGGAAGCGAGTCAGAGCTCCTCTTCTTATGACCTTTCAAGATCATGTCTGGAGTCTTTCCCTTACCAGGGAGAGATGAGCCAAGGTCAAAGGGGCATTGGATCTGCCCAGAGACCAGTTTTCAGGGGAGTTCTCCTCACCTGGCTCTGAAGCGAGCTTAAGGGAGCACTCCACTTTTAGTAGCCTCAACTTAATCTCCCAGTTTTTCCTTGCTTTGGATTTAAGGGCCAGACATAAGTTACACTTCTGAGGCAGCGAATGCATTTGGGGTGGGATAGCTTCCGGCAAGCGAGGCAGCATTTCAACCCCAGTGAGCTGCGTATGCCCTTCCAATGAAGGCAAGACTCCCGGAGGGAGGGGAGAGGAATAAAATGGATCATCTCAATTTAGCTAATCTAAAACTAAACTACAAGCAGGAGAAAAAAAACTTTTAGCTGAGGCAGGCTCAAAGCAGACACACTAAAGCTCCATCTCAAGCCACAGCAGTTGTAAAGGGACTGAGAGCAGTTTCCCACACAGCCTGAGGGCGGGGCACAAGACTGTGTAGGGCATATGTGCGGGCTGAATGGACACTGCTAGCAAAAATCACTGATCGAAGGTGTATGGGGCACACGTGCACCTGAAGTGGAGCACACAGAGACAACCATTTCATTCAAAGATTGTACAAAGCTTTAAGACATTAAGTAAACATCACAACACCACTATGAGGTAGTTAGATAGGTATTTCTGTGTTACAGAAGGGTAACAAAAAGGCAGAGAGAGGCTACAAGGACTTGGACTAGGTCACATAGCAAGCCAGTGATGTAATTTTTGAGGATTGTAATGTTTCAGTTATATGTGTGGACATAAGTATAGTTTCTGCATATAGGTTAAGAAAGTGATTCTGACTTAAAGAGACATTAAAGCAGCTCCTAAAATCTGTTCTGAGCATATCACCAGAAAGGAGAACTGTACCACATCTGACAATAGGCATTTCATCATGGTCTAAGTCCTATATGTTCAGATTAATAAAATTTGTAATATTATCGGTAACAGTGCCATCTGATGTCTCCTAACAGGGTTATATGCAAGAGAAGTAGAAATAGAACCCAGGGCCCCCACTTTACAGTTCCCTTCTCTAACCCAATGGTCTCCAAAGTTTTTTGATCACGCACCCCCTGCCGCCCCAAGCAAAAAATAAAACCCGCCCGAACTGCCAAAGCAGCACTGCTCCGGCGACGCTCCTCCTGCCGTGCACCCCGAAGGATCCTCTTGCTCACCCCCTAGGGTGCGCGCACCCCACTTTGGAGACCACTGCTCTAACCAACAAATCACAGTCCACACTGAAAACAGCAATGAGTGGGGCACGTATATAGATGAAATTATATCCATTTCCTACATGTAAAACATCATACCCTCCCTTGCACCTAATCCTTGTTTGTATCTGTCAATATTAGATTGTTCGGTCATTGGGGCAAGGCCTTTGTGAGGCCACATGTTGAGTAGAGGCACAAGGTAATAGGTATTATATTATGCTTCGCACACAGCGTAGAAAATGAAGCCAAATGATCTGAGAGATTTAACAGTATCTCCAGTGGCAACTGTTACAAGAGCTATGCGTTTGAATTTTTCACCGTTAACCTCCCAACATTTATGTCCCAACACATATTTTCTTTCATGGCTGGGAATGATTTGCCATATGGCTGCCATATAGTTAAAGTGCTGAATCGCTATAAAAAATATATTTAAATGGAAGTGCAATTCTGTGAACACTTGTACCCACAAAACCCACAACCGGTGTGAAACTCATTCTGTTCCATTCCGTAGGCTCAAAACGTGGCTCTGATGTATTAATAACACTTAACCATTTATTTAACTCAGAGTACATGTTCCAAGACGTGTACAGACACAGGTGCCATGAAAAACACTGGGAACACTGTATCCCAAAAATTAAATACTCCAGGGGCCAACATGTGAAACAGTCCCTAAACCACTGGATTTTGCATATGAAGGACTGCACATAACAAAGGGGTTAACCACTTAATATTTTAACTTTAGGGGCTCTCTATCCAGCCCATCTTATCTGGAGCCTTCTGAACTTTGAAAGCAACAATGGCCAGAGTATCTGGAGGAAGGTCAACTGCTAGTGAAGGGGAAAAGACGGTTACAAAACCAGAACACTGAGGACTGAAGGACCTTCACTAGGAGAGGCATCACTCCATTCCTGTTCTCTCTTCACATGCATCTCTGGGCAGGGACGTGAGCACAGAGCCATTGACTAGAAAAAAGACAATAACTGAAATCAGTAGCCGTCACCACTAGGTGAGAGGGCATATAGTTGCATTTCTCCTGAGTTAGCCGCTCCAGACACAGCAACCATTCCTGGACCTCCGCAGCCCCGTCTGATTGTTCTGGTTTGCTTTAGACCAATCTTATAAATGCAGCTATTAATCAAAAATGTTCCTTGAGCACCTTATATTTAGATATACTAAACCTTGTTCCTCCCACACGGATACTCTAAGTGCCCTGTCACAGCTCTGATAGAGTTCCCCCAGCTGAACATTCACCAGGCTGCTGGGTGCTCCTAAGCTTCCCTTCGACTGAGTAGGCTATAGCACTGTATCTTTTCTTGGTCTCTCTGGCATGATTCCGAGGACCAGACTCTCTGTCTATTACCTCTTCAAAGAAACGGGACCTTGCAACCCAGTTGCCTTAGGTCTCCAGGACCACTGCTGACCCCCCGATACCCCAATAGTGTAAGCACACCATTTCCTCGAGTTCCAACCTTGTGGGTACTCTGCATTTACACTCCATCTCTTCCAGGACACATGGTAGTGGAAGCAGACAGACACATATGCTTTGTAAGGCTTCCAAAATCCAATTGCTCTTTACTTTAGCTAGTGCAAGAAATAGACAAACCAAGACAAAATAGTACAGCTGTATGCATTTCCCTGTCTCAGTTTCCTCACCGCTTGAGCATTCTTTGGTTTTAGGTCAGAGTCCTCTAAGGAATCCAGGATCCCTCCTCCTGCACATGGCTTCTTCTCTCAATCATGGAGCCTCTCTCTGCTGCAGTCAGGTTCCCTCTTCCTCAGATGGTCCTGCAGTTCAGGAGGACCCCTCTGCCATGAAAGCATGCCCCTCTGCTCCTGCCCAAGCTTCCTTGTCTCTGCGAGTCTCTCCGCCCAAGTTGGCTCGGGGTACTTCTACACAGCAAAAGACCCCACCACTGTAGCACGTCTCAGAGCCTGGGTCAACTGACTTCCCTCATCAGGTTTTAGAGCCCAGGCTCTAGCCCAAGCCTGAATGGCTACACTGCTATATTTAGCCCTGCAGCAGGAGCCCAAGAGCACTGACCTTATATTTAGATATACTAAACCTAGTTCTTCCCACACTACATATTTTGTTCTGCTTGTGGGAAAATTCCACCGTTCCAAACCCTAGTTCCCACGCAGTGAGGTTGGAGAAAATTGGATTTACCTATGTGACCATCTCATCAAGGTTTAACAACTCTCCATTGTCCCTGATCCAGGGGATATGTGACACAGTCCGACACCATATGGCTGACTCCATATACACTGAGGGATTCAATGATACAGCAATTTCATCAGATCAACTAGAATTCATAAATTGTGAGATTACACAAATCATCACGTCCTCATCTTCTTTCTCTTTGCTCTCAGCATGCCTACGGTTGAGGGAAGACTCCCTCTTTAAAGAAAGAGGCTTTACTCACTTTGGATAAATTCAAAGGAAACAAGTTGATAGTTTATTAAAACATTGTAATGTCACTATCTCAATCCTTTGTTCTTTAAGGCTCCTCCTTTCATACAGAGTTTGCAAGACTGAATTAAAACCAAAGAGGAGCAATAAGTAGAGACAGAGACTGCTATAGAAAGCCAGCTTTCATTGACAGCAACAAGAAAAGATTCTGCATGGTTGCAAACAAAAATCAGGCACTTACATCATGATTAGTAATTAACTGGAACAGAATGGAAGATACCAACAAGTGATTTGTAATATGTTCCCAAAGTAAGAGTGAAAACTATTGGACGCAAAATCTTCATCTTCTATGGCATTAGAAGACGGAAAATGGGAATCTTCCAGCCCATTTTAGAAAACATGATCACGTTTAAGGCCTATTTAAAAATTTCTCTCTTTAAATTTGCATTCAGTAGTCGGTTTCATCATGACAATGTGTCACATCACAGCTCCATGGATGTTCCATCTGGACAGCAATGACACACTTAGGCCCTGATCTGATCTCACTTGCACTATTGTAAGTTAGAAGCAACTCCCTTAAAGTCAGTAGTGTTACACGGACATGAAACCAGCATAAATGATACCAGAAACAGGCCCGGAGGCTGTGTGCGCCCTGGAAAACGGAACCTATTTTTATTGACCAGCTTGCACTGGTTTAAGCATAAACAGTTTATTGAGTTCATACTAGCCATGCTTACTTGTGTTCTGAACCATTGCAGTTTTGCTTCATGCCCACTAAAACCACTTTAAAATGTTCTGTCTAAACATTTTTTGGAAAGAAAATGCCTTTTTGACTATGTGGATTTCCCCCCCCCCCCCTGCTTTTGTCAACATTTTCAGGTTTATGTAAAAAAAATCAGTTTGGGGGTTTACAAAGAAAAGTTAATATTGTTTTTGTCAATTTTTCTCACAAGAAAAAGGTCATAATTTGCCAACGCGCTCCTAATGTCCACTGTAGCGGAGTCAAGTAGCCTCTTTAAAAGCAGGCATCACTACCTCAGGGATTGGGAAGGTCATGTGGCTGGGGGGGAGGAAGTGGGTCAGGTGACCAACTAGAACTGCATAAGAAACAATCTGGGGTTGACAGTATGGGGACAGTCATGGGTGGAGACAGGAGCAGGAAAAGGCTGTCTAGAGGCTGAAGCCAAGCTAGAAAAAACTGCAAAAGGCTGACTGACAAACCAGCTGAGACCCACAGAGACCAGGCTTTGCGAGAGAACCTGGGAGGGGGTCACCAACCCTAGTGGGCCAAGGAGGAGACCTAGAAAGAGAGAGACAGTGACAGCAAATCCAGGAAAGGACAGTAGGAAAGACGTAGAGAGACAAGCCCAGGGAGATGAAGCAAGGCATGTAAGTGGACTTTCTCTACCTGTTGTACGGTCACCTAACTAGAACCCAGAGTAGAGAGAACAACTGGGTTCTCCTATGGCACCAACTGGAGGTGGCGTGGAAATTCCTCTTCAACTCCACAGTGCCTCCAGGAGGAGGGCAAGTGGATATCCCTGTGGAAGGGATTACCAGGTCCAGGGAGGGGACTACTGAGCCCCAGCAAGCCCCAACTTTTGTAATTTTATCACAACTCTTGTGTTATTGGGTATTTTTCTAAGAACCTCCGCTCCTGGAGACTATTACATGAGGCTCAGGTTTCATTAAAAGATATCTAGCCCCCATGGTTGCAGAGAAAAGCTTGAGAACATGACTCAAGTGTACCTCAAAGACTCAAATACCAGAAGCCAAAATGGGGGGGGGAAGTTGTTTTTTCTTAAAGTCCCATGATTACACCAATATCATGATTTTTGAATGCTAAAGTCAGGCAAGACTGTAACGGGTTCAAAAACCCTGTTTGTGGATTTGTTTTGTTAATTCCAAAAGGAGTGGACTTTGTCACTTAGCCAAACGGCTAAATCATGCCAGTGCTGGGAGCTGGAGGAGAGTCAGTGAGTTAGCCCAAGGGGAAACTGTGGCAGACCTGTGTCCAGAAGCTACTCACTAACATCCACATCAGTGCTGTTTCACCATTTCAGTTGCAATGCACTCTAGGTACCTACCCCATAGTTCCTGTCACAGGTCCAAGAAGCAGCAGATTCTGGGAGAATTCTGAAGGTCACTGGGAAGGTTTCTAAAGGGGGGGGAGAAGACGGGGGAAGAGGACTGACCATGCTGGCAATAAGCTACTGCAGACTGAAACAGTAGCCACACTAACCAGGTATTTAAGCCTGGAGGAAAACAAGTCAAATCCAAATGGTACTTGGCACACACAAACCCTTTGGATACTTGTTTGTGGAGATTAAATGTTTATAAGCGTGGTAGTGGGGCCACTCAGTTCTTGGCAAGGTAAATTTCTCTAAGTTCACAAGAGATGTAAAACGACTAGTTTAAGAGGTTCCTTTTCATGCACTCACAGTTCCCAAAGCTATCTGTTTACTAAGACTTTGATGTTAAATATTATCTTCCATCTAAGTCAAGTCTCATGCACAACAACTTACTCTAAGGCTAGAATCTTCACTTTTAAAGGAGACCCTGTATTTAGTATCTCTTGTTAGTAAACAGCTATGCTTTCAGTGCTTTGAAAAAATTTCCACAGTTAAACATACTAATCGATTTTTAACACTGATTTTCCCTGCGAAGAATGTAGGATTTGAGGGTGTGGGGTAGAAAAACAGGAGAAGGTAAGGGGACACATTCCTAAATAATCATAGAGGGTCCAGCCATAAATCTTTAGTGAACAGCTTCCGGGTGTTGTTTTCATACTGCAGTGTTGCATTGATATCAGGTTTGTCTACAAATTCTATGGCACATTTCTGAATGCCACAAGGAGACTGCTCCAGCTCCAACACTGTGATATTGTTCGGTGACGACGAAACGAGGATGTTGCTTGGAACAAATAGGGTCACTTGAGGACCACGAACTGGCCAGTAACGACCGAGGTTAAAGCCATTGATCCAAATTTGTCCCTGCCAAAAGACAAAAAAAAAAATGTTTTAAGTCAAATAAAAATTATTAAATTAATAGCTTACTTAACCTCTACCATCCTGAGGACAGGAATTGAGCCTTCATGTTTCATACAATGAAACACTATATTTTCACACTATATATTGATCAGGCTAAAATATGCTGGGATTTAAATCCTGATCAAAACATACTTTAAAAACAGGCAAAACAATCATAGTTCCTTGATTAATTAAAAACCGTGTCAACATTTAAAAATGAGATGTTGGAAGAAAATATACCTTTACTAAAAAATGAAGACTTGCACGCCAAGAAAATAAATTAGTAGTATCCATAAAACACCAAGGAGACAGAGAACTACTGTGTCCCAGACCAGTCAATACTACTTGGGAAGCTTGAAAAAGTGACTCTTGGCAAGTTTAACTGGAGACATTTGGGAACAACAAATTTCTGGATGTTGCGTTTGTGTCTCACCTGAAGCCATTCTCTGTAGAGCTCTGTGAAGCTCAATATTTTAGTTGTCAGGAGCTTCTGGCAAACCTTCCTTTGGTTTTATTTCAAGAGGGAGCGACATAATGTCCACCCCTCTCCCAGCCCTGAATTTTGCTTTAAGTTTCAGGTTAAAACAAACCTGAAAACAAAATTATATTTGCTTAAAGGTAACTGGTAAAGGGGAGGGGAGGTGACTTGTTGAAAAGTGCACTGAACAATGGTCTGAGAGTTTTTGTGCAAAAAAAGTAATTTATTCGCAGCTTGTTTCAGCCGTTTCCGACCCTCAAAGTCTCTATGGCAACAGGAGAACTTGATAAATAACATCACGAAAGAGAAACCTGAGCAACTGTGAAGAAAAAGGGACAGTTTAGCTAGACTGTTAAACTCTGTTTTCAGTGGGTTTTGTTGTTGTTTGGTTAAAGTCGGGTTCTAGTGACCACCAAGACTTAGCAGAAAAAATAATACTCTTGTTAAAGTTGAAAGACCCAGACCACGCCTGGTAATGCGAGATTTCACACAAGCATCTGAGACATCCAAGAAGCACTCTTGCAAAAAGAGGGATGACTTGACATTGTTGATGTTTCTAACGTAAAAAAAACAAGCTTAAGAAAGCCTTTCAAAAAATTGCATCTTTTAAACACATCATAAAGCAGCAAAAAACACCCCCAAGCTCATTATTTTTAGAAAAATCATCTTAGTCATCTTTAAAATGGTGACGTTTCATACCATTTCAGTGGAATTGTAAACGGAGCCACATTCACTCAAAACTGAACCTCGGTTCATGAACGTTTTGACTGAACTGGACTGTTTTGAGTTCATAACAAAAAGGAAAGTTCCACGTGTTTTTGAGGTTTAACATGCCACACAGCTCCAATCTCTCACGAACGCACTTTCTGTGTTAGTCAGCTACAGGCTCAGAACACTGGGACTTCAATGGACGAGAATTCAACAGGAGCAGGTGAATTAAAGCATCAATTTTTCCCCATATAAAATATCCTTAGCCGTTAAGACTAGGGGAAAAAAACGATGAGATGCATGGCACAAAGGCAGAATGATGACTAAATAAAAGGGTTTCTATAAGGCACTGGGAAGGTAGGACTTTAACAGCATCGTTGTGGCTTCCGAAAAACTTAGGGTACGTGAAATTGCAATTAAAAATGAAAGGTGAGGAAAATGTAGCAAAGTCTCTCAAACATAGATTAGTAGAGTATTAAAAAGAAAATAGTTATATTGCAGTTGTGTTTCTGTAAATTTATTTCAAATCTTTATAAATAAATTATGTCAAATTCATAATTTTTCTCCAAGAGACGGGTAAATTCCCAAATGAGGGTGAGTTCAACTTTCCATTTGCCTCTGTGGCCTAGGATCCTATCTTGCTCTGTTTTGCCAAGGTGTTGTTAAACTTCAACCCCAAACATTTTTTTTAATCAAATTAATCTCGTTCTGTGGCTTGTTTTTGCGGTACGTAGGGGGAAAGAAAATATTCTGACTCAGTGCTTTGCTTCTGTGATCTTTTAGGGTGAAAAATGGCATTAGAATTGCTGTAAGTTACTGTTCCACACACAAGATAAATTCATTACGGTAATGTGAAATATGCTCTAGCTCATTGAGAACTTGTGGGTTGGTGCAGGACTTAGAGGGGGAAATTCTAAGACCTATACAGAAGGTCAGATGAGATTAAAAAAAAATCATAATGGTCCCTTCTGGTCTTTAAGTCTGACAGTTTACTTCATACAATTTCTTGGAAAATATGAGCTCAAAGGTTAATTTGCAAGGAGCTGTTCTTAAGTTTACAGATCACGTATGCAGCATGGTTATGAAATCCTATGTCCATATATGTCCCCAAATCTACTAATTTATAACATCCATATAGACTAAATAACATGTTATACAAAATAAAAACAGAAGAACCAGCAATTAGAAACAGAAAACTTCTTTTATATGACAAGATAGTTGTTCACAACTCAGCAGTAGTTTCTAGTTCAATATCTAAACTCTGAAACCCCTTTTTTAAGCCATACCATTAAGTTCTGCAACAGACAGGAGCCTCTAAACCACTGTGTTGTTTTTTTTAAAAAAGATACAGCACACTTGATATGTTACAACACAGCAACAACTTAACTCAGTCAATTACAGCCTGTCCAATTTTTTAGGAGTAAATTCAGTACCACTGACAGGTGCTAGATTGACAGTCTTAGACTTTTTAAAAACTTTATCTTTATTATTTTTATATAAAATATTAAAACAATGAAACAAAACATATATAAATACAAGCACAAGATAGAAATAGCATATAAAGAACAAATACAACATTCATGATTTCTAAAATCTGGGGGGGAAAAACAAAAAACAACCTGTAGAGATCATGCAGGGCATCAATTATTAAAGTGACTAAATAGATAAATAAGTGAGAACATAACCTACGAGTATTGCGGACTAATATATACTAAACTGCAAAAAATATGCAATAGTTTCATGAGTAACCAGACATCCTCATTTTTTTCCAAGCATTTCTATTAGACAGTCATTTTTTCCATTAGTAATAGAGAACTCACTAAGCCAATCTGTGTACGACTGAGGAATTGCAGAGCGCCATTTTCTCAAAACAACTCTTTTGGCAACTAATATAGTTACTGCAATCCATTTCTTAATGTTAGTCTTACACATTTAAAAAACAACAACAAATGTTCAAGAGTACTGTATGAAAGAAAAAGCCTGCCAGTGTAATGATGACTGACCATGCACAGTACTTTGCTATAGCGCAGAGTTGCAACTATCACTCATTTGGAGGGAGGTACTTTTATTTAGTCTTATTTTCATAGCGATTTTAAAATCTCACCTCATGATGAACGATTGCTACTTGTTTTCAATGAAGTTTTAAAATGTTACTCATTCAAACTAAGATTGCCCAATAATGGCTATGAAGTATGCAACAATTTCATAGCAGAAAACTATTTTCCACTTCTACCAATACTGTATCATTTTGAAGGCTCCTGTGGACTTGATAAAAATGTCAGAAAAACCCTTACAGTTCTTCATGAACACATTCACGGTTATGCATATATAGTGTACCATGACATTGTATAGAGCGGGTATGTGGAATTTTTGGCCATGATACTAATTCCACTGAATTTTCAGGAATCTCTCAAATCACATTAATGTCATTCATGGCAAATACAGAAAGGTTGTGGAACCTACCTAAGAAGCATTAGGTGTTGGAACAGAACCATTTAAAAGTGCCAAACAAAAACCCTGGATCTAAGTTCATCCAAAATTTGAGAGTTAGTAGCTTTTGGAATCCAAATCAGAATTTAGCAATTGGCCTGTGTTTCAATTTGTGGGATAAACAAAAGATCTGGAACCTGTGAATTGCCTGAACTTTGAAGAGTAAAAAATCAAGATCCACATTTTCTTTTATAAAGACACATCATTGTGGTCATTCTGCTTCCTTCTTTGAAAACAAATATCACCCTACATGTCCTTCTCTAGGTGCGAGATTAGTGCCAAATCAGCAATCAGCAACTGGTGTACCTGCATCCCTGCAAACCCCAAGTGTTGCTAAGGAAAGCCATGACTTGCACCATTGCCTGTGTAACCCTCAATCCATGCAAATCACTGCTTTTCTTGACTACAGTTGGGGCTTGGGCTGGTGCAGCTACACAGGTTGCTATGGCTGAATCCCAAGATAGCTGGGGCTTATCCAGTTCAGCATTAGGCATCTCCACTGCTCCAGTTTCCCCTCTGAGTCACCCACAGGCTTGTAAGTTGCTGCAGTGCTCACATGCAGGAGTCTTTACTGCATTGCAGCACTGAGGTGACTTAGCTCTCTGGCTAAGTCAGAGTTCACCACTTCCGGAGCATCAAAAATAAAGTCTAGTGGCAACACACAGTCTTCTGCCCTACACTCTTCCAGGTCACAGCAGTTCCCTCCGAGGGTCTTAGGCAATCTTCAGCCCTTCCATCAGGCTCAGCTTGCTGCCTCTAATTAATCTTCCCACATCCCACAGTAGCAGCATAGAAGGGGGCCAATGCCCACAGTCTCCTACAGGTTCCATCTTATAATTGGGCTATTTGCCCTTAGTCACTCAAGCTCTAGCCTTGTCCTTCAGTTTTCCCCAGGCCATAGTCCTCCATAAGCCTTCCTTCAGCTTCCCCTGTATATAAACCCGTTTCCCAGGTCTCTCAACTGAATCTTCTCCCAGCAGGCTTCTGCTCCCAGCAGTCTCGCTCCCCAGGCCCTCTGCCTGGGAACTAGGGGGAACCTTCACCCTGCACTTGCTTTCTCCCCACCTCCACTCTCAAAGTGGGCTATTGGCACTCCTTATGAACTTTGGATGGTCACTTGACGGCTCATTCCCCTCAGCTAGGGAGAAATTCTGGTCTTGTCTACACACAAAACTTGTACTGCTTTAACTATACCAATATAGGTAAAGTGGTACAGAGCTTCGCAACCCAACGGGACCCGACTACAAGTGTGGGGTTCGGGTTGGGCTGGAAACCAGCCCACACTCTCAGGCTCAGGTCAGCTCTGATCACTTCCTCCTGCCTGCGGGGTTGGCCCGGTGGCGGCTGCATGCTCTGCTCCTGCCAACCACTGCCACCTAACTGTTCTGTGTGCTGCCAGGGAAGAGGCGCTGCAACTCCTCATCACACTTACTCCGTAGGCAGGAGCAGGCCACGCAGCTGCTGCTGCGTCAACCCTAAGGGCAGGAGGTGGCTGTCGACAGATTGCAGGCCCAGGATGACCCCAAGCCCACACGACAGCACTGGCACAGGTTCGGAGTGGGATGGAGTAACTGTTGGGTTTGGGTCGGGGCTGAAAAGACTTAACCCTTTTGGATCAGGTTTGGCTTGGCTGTGCTTGGGTCGGGTTCAAGTCTGGGTCAGGCTTGAAAATTAGGCCTGGGCAGACGTCTAAGGTGGTACAACCCCTCTAACGTGGATGCAGTTATAGTGGTATAAAGGTGATTATACCAGTATAGCTTATTCCCATAAGGGAAGAGGAATCAGCTGTATTGGTATAAGGCATCTTTATACAGCTACAGCTGCATCCATATTAGGTAGTTGGGTCTGATATAGCTACTTCGATAGTCTAAATATCATATCCAACAAATCGGTACAAAACAACCCAAACCAACTGTGCAGGCCAGGAAGGGCCAAGCCTTGGAACTGGCACACTGGGCCATTCATGTGTCCTGGGATCACTGAACTGCTGTTCCCAGGTACACACAAAGCCAGACTATCTGAAGAGTCCATTTTTTAAAGTGAGGAGCCTGGTCAGGGAGGGGGACATAAAACTGAACTGGGGAGGGAGGGGGAAGAGGATGCTAAACCAATCCAAGTGATTTCCTTGAGAAGATCGATAACTGCTGCATGCCACCAGCTCATATGCCATTTCAGCTAGATGGGGATTTAAAATGGAGTTCTAAATCGCTATAGAAATTGGGGCTTGTAATCAAAACAAAAAGGGCCCAGCTATGCTATGGGTGCAATTTCCATAAACACTTAGCATTGGCCTCTTGCACCCCCTGAAGTCAATGTAAATTCTACTACTGGCTTCAATAGAAGCAGAGAGAAGCCAACAGTGAGAGCTATTGGAAATCCCACCCACTCAGGTTTAACCATGCCAATTTCTTTATTTAGCATTTGTGTATTCGCCTAGCCAAGCATTAGCGTTCTTAGTGGCCAAGTGCAGCTCTCGGAGCCCACCACTGAATTTGGTTAGCAGGCACTCCTCAACAATGGGTATTATTGTTCAACCTGCACCGCAGCTTGGACTGTCTCAAAGACCCCAATGGAGCTGGTTGGTTGCACAGAGGCCTTGCCCAGTCTGGAATCAGTTAAGAAGGGCCTGACGACGTGGCAGGTTGAAGTTGGGCAGGCAAGCAGTAGGGTCTGTGATGAGAAACTGATTGGTGGTTGGTGTTAAGCACCAGTCTTCCCACCACAGGGACTCCGCTGTCACATCCTGGCGTGGCAGCCTTGACCACAGTGGGTGCCGTGATGAAAGATGTGTAGCTGATGGGCTACAGAGATCGCCGAACAAGGGAAAGCTTGGATCGGCATGTATCTTATCAAGCAGCTTGCTAGCTGCAATCGGCAACCTGATGTAAGGGGGAGCAATGTGGCTCAGAACTGGAAGCCAGGCCAATGTCCAGTTGTGAGACACGATTAGGGATTTTTGCATTCCAACGGGATTTTTTGTGGGTAGTGAAGGTGGGGCTACAGGTTTTAGAATCATTTAGGCAACCTTGTTACAAGTTAGGTCATGACTGTTCCTGCTGGGACCCTTCCTCTGAGCTAGCAAGTCTCATCTTCGGACTGTCAGAATTGTGTGCTTTGTTAATGAGCAATTTTTAATTTTTTAAAAAAAGCTAAAATCTCCATACAAAGACACTGGATAATTTTCTCCACTCCTTGGCATGAAGAGTTTTTCTAGCACCACTTCAGCAATTATGTCCTTTATTACTTCTGCTCAGCCAGCCTGACTCCACTCTGGCTCAAGAGGCCAACTTCTAGTACCTCACTTTCTCCAGAACAAGCAGCCTTTTAAAAGCCTGTATTCACTTCCCTTCTCCAGAGGGCAGCTCTCTCTCCATCCCCCCAAGAAAAAAAGACCAAAACTGAATGCCATATTCTAAATAGGCCTGACCACACACATCTTTGTGTCCTACTCACTATAATAGTGCATACTTACGTGGCACATCATTTGCCTAGCCAACGTCACTGAATGACTACTTAATATGAGCTTCCCTCAGCTTAGTTTGCTATCCCCAGATTTGTTCAAGATTTAGGTAAATTATATGATCCACAGACTAGTCACTTACAAGATCTCAACATCTCTGAATACCATTTGATATATGTGAGTGACCCTTCAAAACTACCTCACTGTTGTTACCTAGTCCTCCGCCCCTATTAGCGGGCTGTTCTTGACCTTTAACAACAATTTTAAGGTGACTTCAGAATCAGATTCAGGTTTTTCGGTAAACATCTTAGAAAAAGAAACCTACCTTTGTCCAGCCAGGAAACGTGATATAGGTGTCTTGGGGTAAATCGGGGATTCCACTGGGAATAGAAAATCTGCCAGTGTAAAAAGCAGGAGCTGCATCTCTTGAGGGATTACCACCAGATGTTTTTGATTCATCACCTCTGCTATTTAGGCCATGGCCCACCACACTGTCTATGTCTAGGGGGTAGATCTCCCAGTCAATGAGTGTAACTTGGCCAAGAGATAAATTTGACACTAGACCCTGCAAAGAAATTAAAGATGTTAACAAAATCAATAATCTCATCTCATTACAGTTATTTATCTCCAACTGTCCTGAGTACAAAACAGGGAAGAGAAATAAAAACGTGGCTGAACTACAGTAGTCACCAGTATTGCCAACCCCAAGTGTTCAAAACTCATGCGTCAAGTCTCCCAAAATTAAGGATTAGTTTAAAAAAAAGCAAAAACCAAACAAAAAAAAACCTTGAAGAAACCCCTCATTTTTATTTGCTTTCTGGGTTTTGAGCCTTTAGGATACACTTGGGTCACATTTTCAAGCTTTTCGCTGCAACCACGGAGGCTAGAAAACTTAGTGTTAAAATCAAGCTGCAATTTTCACAATCACGGGATTCCAGGAATGGGCGCATTAAGGAAATCACAAGAGCTGGCAACACTGAGTCACTCTACATAGTAGTACAGACAGCGTTATTTGCTTCCTACAGAACTACTGTAGCTCGTACACAGTATCACAAAGTCAGGGCTTCAAGGCTCACCCTGAGCCAGCAAAGTACTTATGTATGTGCTTAACTTTAAGCATAGTAGTCCATGTTACTTCAATGAGACTAATGTGCTTAATGTGAAGAATGTTATTAAGTATCATGCTGAAGTGGGACCTAAGTGAGGACACATTTCATACATCAGAGGTAGATTCAGAAGTTTGCTTACAGAAATCAAATCCTCCCCTACCCACAAAAGGTTGTTACAACAGTTTCTATTACAGTATTTGACACTTAGGTCACACCAATAAAACCTTCCCATGCACACAAAGCCGCAGGGTTAAATTTAAATTGATATAGTGAGACAAGTATAACTCCTAACGTAGACACACTTATTCCAGCATAAGAATCGTCTCAGCATAGTTTAAATCCCTTCCCAAGCAACATAAGCTCAACTGAAAAAAAAAGCCTCTCTTACACCAGAATAAGAGTGTGTCCACACAGGGGATTATACTGGTAAAGCTTTCCTACGTAGACAAGCCCTTACTCTAATAAACAGTCTGAATTCAAGTCATACGGTATATCTTTGGCCAGGTTTTCTGAACTTGCTTGCCTATATCCATGTTTAGGCACTTAGATAAGGAGTAGTCTGACTTTCAAATGGTGCTAAGATCCCGCAGCTCCTAATGAACATATTGTCTTTTGTTTTTATCAGCACCTTTCTAATATGCATTAAAATAGAGAAGCGAGTTTTCCAGGTAACGTACAGCAAAAGATGTAGGAAGCACATACAACCACACTAGATCTGCTTCCTTCCTTTGTTTCCTTCAGCAACAAGACATATCAGCAAATGCAAAACAGCAGATATTTTGAGCTACTTCCCCAAAATCTAGATACTTAATTCCATTTCACATTGTTAAACCTTAACCAAAAAAGGAAACACAAAAGCTACCTTATTTGCTTTAAAAATGTAGGCCTTTTTGCAAGATTTGTGGCACAACTCCCTCAAGTTTAGCTTTGAGGACAAAGGTATTTTAAAAAAGACTAGACAGTTAATTTCTCTTAGTTTCCCCAACTGATATTGTATAATTGCCCCTAAACCCTTGCTTACCACAGCAGAGAGAGTCCCCTCTGCAAGAAACAGTATTACACATTTTCCATAGGTATCTGGAAAATCCTAATCTCTTCCCTATGCAAGGATCTCACTTTTCTGCAGCCTCTGGTGCACACACGGGTTTCTTTTCATACCATACATGTCTACTGAACCTGATTTCATTCCTAATATTTAAATGCTGAATCCCGGATTTTTGTGAAAAGCTCAACTCAACCATCACCTATGGAAGCACAACTGGCTCCTCCATAATTCATCTTCTAAACTCCATTTTGTTATCTTATAATCTAGTTCCCAGTAAAAAGGGGTACACATCCCCCAGACTACCAGCACACTTGTTACCCTTCTTGGCAGTCGTGGGCTAAGCGACTCTCACACCCATCAGATAAAGGGTGACGCAAACTGGCAGGGTAGCACAGATGGAACTGGCTCTATTGTTGCCCATGCAACACCTGTTCAGTAGATAAAGAAAGGACTTCAGTCTGCAGGACTCTTAGTCCACCAGCTTCCACAAGCACCACAGATACACATGTGCACACATTTTGCCCAGGCTAGGATTTAAAGGTGTATTGTTAGCTCAATCTAACTAGCAACGTCTAAAACGCAAGACAGGACAAGTAAAATTGTACTTCGGCATGTGCTAAGCTGGTGAAAGCCTGGAGCCTAGGAAACTTACCAGGCACTGAAGTACTGCTTCCTTTCTCCTAATTAGAGTTTTACCAAGGTTAGTTAGATTGGACTAGCTAACAGACTCCAGCACTACATCCTTAAACCACACAAACTTCCAAAACGTATCTCAGAACCGTAAGCACCTTAAGTAACTAGACTCCTTTAGAGGGCTCTTGAAACCAGAGTGGCTGAACTGGAGGAGCTAAAGGAGACAAAAAGAGGTACATACACAAGACTTTCCAGGACACAGTGGAGTGGTCCCACCCACAGTCTGACATTCTCTGTGCTGTTGAGGACGACGAAAGTCTTGAGGAAGAACAATATCAAGCTGGAGTGGAGGGAAATGATCCTATAGTTAGGACACTCCTTCCATATGATGTCATGTTATCCTCTCGTACTGAGAATAACCCTTTGGAGGAGGGGACTCCTGTTCCTAGGAACAGACAGGTAATAGTAAAGGGGGATTCAATTATTAGAAATATAGATAGTTGGGTATGTGATGACTGGGAGAATTGGTTGCTGGATGCAAAGGTTAAAGAACTCAAGACATCTAGACAGACTTATGTGCAGTGCTGGGGAACAGCTGGTGGTTGTAGTACATGTAGGTAGCAATGACATCCGGAAAGCTAGGAAAGAGGTCCTGGAAGGCAAATTTAGGTGTTAGGTAAGAGATTGAAGTCCAGGACCCGCATGGTAGCAGTCTCTGAAACGCTTCTAGTTCGACATGCAGGCCCAGTCAGACAGGCAGAAATGCATGATCTCAATACGTGAATGAGATGATAGTGTTCAGAGCAGGGATTTAGGTTTATTAGGACCTGGGAAACCTTTTGGGAAAGGAAGAGCTTGTACAGGAAGGATGGGCTCCACCTAAATCAAAATGGAACCAGATTGCTGGCATGTAAAATTTAAAGGTCACAGAGGAGTTTTTAAACTAAGAGGTGGGGGAAAGCCAACAGTTCGGATAGACACATCCTTTAGGGGAGGATCTATTAACAGGGATTCTCTATGTCCTAGTAAAGAGGAGAGGATAGAAGTTGATAAAGAACAAGTAGAAGATGAAGAGAAACAGTCAAACAAAAAGGAGTTCCATTCAATTACACCATAGGAAGGCAAACAACTAAATGCGGATACATTTTATACGTGCTTTTATACAAATACTAAAAGTCTAAATATTAAGACGTGTGAACTTGAGAGCCTGGTATTAAATGAGGATATTGACATAATAGGCATCACAGAAATATGGTGGAACGATGATAATCAATGGGACATGGTAATACCAGGCACAAATTATATAGGAATGATAGAGTAGGTCATGCTGGTGGGGGAGTGGCACTATAAGCGAAAGAAATCACAGAGTCAAATACTGTAAAAATCTTAAATGAATCAAACAGTACCATAGAATCTCTGTGATAGCTAGTCCATGCTTGAATAGTAAGAGTAAAGCAGTATAAATATACTATCGACTATCTGGCCAGGATGGTGACAGTGATTGTGAAATACTCAGACAGATTAGAGAGGCTACAGAAATAGAAATTACAGTAGTATTGGGGGATTTCAGCTATCCCCATATTGACTGGGTAACATGTCACCTCAGCACAGGATGCAGAAATAAAATTTCTAGACACCATAAATGATTGCTTCTTGGAGCAGCTAGTCCTGGAACCCACAAGGGGAGAGAAAGTCCTTGATTTAGTCCTAAGTGGAGCACAGGATCTGGTCCAAGAGGTGAATATAGCTGAACAGCTCAGTAATAGTGACCATAATGTAATTAAATTTAACGTCCTTGTAGGGAGCAAAATACCACAGAAACTCACCACAGTAGCTTTTAACTTCAGAAAGGGGAACTACACAAAAATGAGGAAGCTAGGTAAGTGGAAATTAAAAGGAACAGTCACAAAAGTGAAATGCCTGCAAGCTGCATGGAAACTTTTTAAAAACACCATCATAGCTGTATGTATACCCCAAATTAAAAAAACAACAGCAGCAAGATGACCAAAAAAATGCCACCATGGCTAAATAACAGAGCAAAAGAAGCAGTTAAAGACAAAAAGATGTCCTTTAAAAGTTGGAAGTCAAATCCTACTGAAGAAAATAGAAAGGAGCATAAACTCTGGCAAGTCAAGTGTAAAAGCATAATTACACAGGCCAAAAAAGAATTTGAAGAGCACTAGCAAAAGACACAAAAATTAACAACAATTTTTTTTTTTAAAGTACATCAGAAACAGGAAACCTCCCAACCAGTGGGGCCACTGGACAATTGAGGTGCTAAAGGAGCACACAAGGAGGATAAGGCCATTGATGAGAAGCTAAATGAATTCTTTGCATCAGTCTTCACTGCAGAGGATGTGAAGGAGATTCCTACAACTGAGCCCTTCTTTTTAGGTGACAAATCTGAGGAACTGTCCCAAATTGAGGTGTCAATAGAAAAAGTTTTGGAACAAAATGATAAATTAAACAGTAGTAAGTCACCAGGACAAGATGGTATTCATCCAAGAGTTCGGAAGGAACTCAGATATGAAACTGCAGAACTACTAATTGTGTTATGTAACCTCTCTCTTAAATCAGCCTCTGTACCATATGACTGGCAGATAACTAAAGTAATGCTGATTTTTTAAAAAGGCTCCAGAGGTGATCCTGGCAATTACAGGCAAGTAAATTTTACTTCAGTATCAGACAAATTGGTTGAAACTATAGTAAAGAACAGACTTATCAGACACATAGATAATAATATATGGAGAGATACCTATCTCATAGAACTGGAAGGGACCCTGAAAGGTCATTGAGTCCAGCCCCCTGCCTTCACTAGCAGGACCAAGTACTGATTTTGCCCCAGATCCCTAAGTGGCCCCTTCAAGGATTGAACTCACAACCCTGGGTTTAGCAGGCCAATGCTCAAACCACTGAGCTATCCCTCCCCCATCCCATGAAGATGATATGTCAGGGAAGAGTCAACACAGCTTTTGTAAAGGAAAATCATGCCTCACCAATCTATTAGAATTCTCTAAAGATGTCAATAATCTTGTGGACAAGGACGATCCTATTGATAAAGTGTACTTGGACTTTCAGAGAGCCTTTCACAAGGTCCCTCACCAAAGGCACTTAAGCAAAGGAAGCAATCATGGGATAAAAGGGAAGGTCCTCTCATGGTTCAGTAACTGGTTGAAAATAAGGAAACAAGGGGTAGGAATAAATGGTCAGTTTTCACAGTAGAGAAAGGTAAATAGCAGGATCCCCCAAGTACCTGTACTGGGACCAGTGTTGTTCAACATATTCATAATGATCTGGAAAAGGAGTAAATAGTGAAGTGGCAAAATTAGCAGATGATACAAAATGACGCAAGATAGTTAAGTCCATAACTGACTGGGAAGAGTTACAAAGGGATCTCACAAAACTGGGTGACTGGGCAACAAAATGGGAGATGAAATTCAATGTGGATAAATGCAAAGGAATGCACATTGGAAAACACAATCCCAACTACACATATAAGATGATGGGGTCTATATTAGCTGTTACCACTCAAGAAAGACATCTGGGAGTTATTGTGGACAGATATCTGAAAACATCCACTCAATGTGCAGCGCCAATCAAAAAAACTAACAGAATGTTAAGGACCAAGATAGAGAAGACAAGACAGAAAATATCATAATGCCCACACTTTGAATACCGCATGTAGTTCTGATCATCACATCTCAAAAAATGTATATTAGAATTGGGAAAAGTACAGAGAAAGGCAACAGAAATTATAAGGGGTATGGAACAGCTTCCATACAAGGAGAGATTAATAAGACAGACTGTTCAGCTTAGAAAAGAGATGGCTAAGGAGGGATATGCTAGAGGTCTATAAAATTATGACTAGTGTGGATAGAGTGAATAAGGAAGTGTCATTTATTCCTTCCCATAACACAAGAACCCGGGGTCACCCAATGAAATTAACAAGCATCAGGTTTAAAATAAACATAAGGAAGTACTTCTTCACAAAACACACAGTCAGTCTATGCAACTTATTGCCAGGGGATGTTGTGAAGGTCAAAACTATAACTGGGTTCAGAAAAGAATTAGGCAAGTTCCTGGAAGATAGGTCTGTCAATAGCTATTAGCCAAAATAGTCAGGGATGCAACCTCATACTCTGACCGACCCTAAACCTCTGACTGCCAGATATTGGGACTGGACCACTCGATAACTGCCCTGTTCTGTTCATCCCCTCTAAAGCATCTGGCACCGGTCACTGTTGAAAGACAGGATACTGGGCTAGGTGATGACTGGTCTTACCCAGTATGGCCATTCTGATGGTCTTATGTTAAACCCAAATCTGGTTTAAATCCTTTTGCTCTGCATTATCACCATTATCAGATCATTCTTTTCACTGTCTATCTAGGTTATAATTTGCATCTCACCATCCTGGAAGACAACATCAAACTCTTAGTCAGGATTCCATAAAATATCCACTGCCTAATATAACTGAAGACAGTGAGCAACATCCGCTAGATGCGGTACATTGACAAGTCTCAGATGTTCTTTGGATAGACACATTTAGAGAGCAGTCTACCAAAGCAAGTCAAGAAAGACATTTTATTTTTATTTATTTTCATGTATTTAAAAAATCTACTTCCTCCTTCTGCACACATGCCTTTGCTGAGTAACCACGTAATCTCATTGCTGTGGCACCTTCTCTTCCTCTAGCCTTTCTCTAGCGGTTTGCTTTTGCCCTCACATCTAAATTGGGCTGTAAGTCTTTGCCAAAATCTTAGCAGCACTGTGAGGTGCCTAGCTTACCTGTGGGGAGGGGCTGCAGAAAAGACAAGATCTTGATATAAATGGTCAGGATTACCTGATGCCACAAGTAGGGCTACGGAAACCCCATTTTAATGGCCAAATGGTCAACTCCTGAAGCAGACTTGAGATGAAATTAGTTTTCTTCCAAAAGTCATGCTCATGCCAGCGAAGCATCACTAATCTGACTGCAATTCGCCGTAATCCTGCCAAACAGCCGTGCAAGCCTCCACACAATGCAGCTCTTCTAAAGAACTTCCATCTTGGCTTGTAGCAGTCCCATTTCAGACTTTGGTCTCTCCCAAGTAGTGATGGCCAGTTGTGTCACACTGTACTATAGATTTTTGGTATGGGTAAATATGCCAAGGGAGCACCAAATTCAGACTCTTGAAACCCACTGTAATCTGCATTTGAACCTAGCTCTCCAGAAAAGGATTAAAGTCTGAACCACTGCACCTCCAAACCCAAGCTACCCACATTTTTGCATCTCCAATAGTTATTCTTGCAGTTTGAGCCACAGATTCCCTTCGACGGGCAAAGTGGGTTCCTGGCCACTGCTCCATTGTTATTTGTATTCCAGTAGTAACCAGAGACAATCAGTGATCAGGGCCCTATTGTGCTAAGCACAATACAAACATAAAAAAGGTAGTCCATTCAATACAGCACAAACATAACAAAAAGGTGGTCCTGTCACTACTTCTCCCCCATCTGTAACAGAAGTCAACACCAAGCTTGATACTCACCAAAATTCATATGATAGCACTTCCCCCGGTTCATGTTAATACAGTGTTGGGACATTACTAATGATGAATTACAGTTCAGAAGTGTGCTTTAGATAAGCACCCAGAGGTTCTGAGATTTATAACCAAGCCTTATCTCATCTGCTCAAACCTGGACTGGAAATTTGGCAAGATAAAGCATTTGCATGAGGGATCCTTCTTCCAGGGATGTTGAAAAATGCTGCAAGAGTGCAGCACTTGCAACTGAACCAAGACATGTATGGACATTGCAAATTCAGATTTTATATATAAAATTAGTACTTTTGAAACTCCAGTGAGCTTGAGTTCTAAATGACGTTTCAGCTGTTTTGAATTCATTTGAACTAGTTGATGCATCCTTAGATGATACATCAGAAGACTCAACACCTCTTGAGAGCCCTGTGGGTGATATAAAACCACCAAAAGTTAAAGGGTGTCTGCTTTTAATGCCACTTTGACCTCAATGAGAGCAGGACTCATAAGAAAAGTATTAGTTGTATTCTGAGTTAGGTAGAGTTGCACCAGCATATTCCCGAACCCTTTGCTCTTACTATTGCATTAAGATTTTCTTCTACCAATAGAAGAAAAGCTGATCTCTGGTGTGCTTTGACAAGTTTAATTGTATAATCATTAGTGACTAAATTTACCTTAAAGTCATTGTTGTATCTACCATAGTTTACTCGACCCATGTTTTCTACCAACACATCCAGATTTGATCCAGCCTTCCCGGTTATATTTATCGTGTATGATTTGCCTCTTTCAAGGACTCCCTGAGGAACCTGTAAGCATAACACCAAAAGGAGAAAATAACATAAGGCTCAAACAGAGGACAAAACACAGGCTATTACACTGGATTACTCATTTTTGAGGCTTACCGGCTTGTACAGAGGAAAATATCCCCCTGCTGCCCTGCTCAACTCAACCCCCACAACTATCATTTAAATTGGTCAGTAAGATATTCAGCTAAGTAGTGTTTCAGTTATTCAAATAATGGAAAATTATCAGTTTCCTCAAAAGTGTGGTACACTTCGTTCACTAATTCTATTGGTTTTGAAATTTCAAAGCTCTGCAAGGCTTTTCATTCCTAAAAAACTCAACGAGTTGTGAAGGTTTGTTCAGATGACTGAAAACAGTTTGCACACTTTATAGGTGAAAATATGACTCATTCTCAGATTAAGCTCTGATGCATTTTTTTTTTTGTAAAAACACTTCAAGATTCTGAATAGAAAACCAAACAATAGTTTGGTTTTGCCAATAGAGACTACTGTTTACTATACAATACATCCTTGATGTATTATATAGAAAACAGGGTTCGTTAAAGAAATATTAATGCAATATGTTGGAATAAAGAATGAAAGCTAGGCTTTGACAGTCCATAAATTGACTTTTCTCCTTATTGAGCAGGAACAAAGCTGTGCTGTACACAGTTCAAGGAGGAAAGCGGGGGAGGAATCTACATCCTGTAAAAAAATTTTTTTTTAAATTTGTGGTCAATAACCCAATGTCACAAGAAAAGATGTAGACTCAAGTTTCCTGCAATAATCAATTGAAACAATCTGCAGGAGCTGATCAAATATAGTCAACTTCTGATTTGTATCAAACCAGTAGTAAGCGAGCCCAGTTTATAGATTTTTTTTTCTACTCGTATGAAGACCATAGACCAATTTTCAATTGTCCTGATACTAATGGTAAGACTTTCAAGCTGACCATAGAAATGGTGTGTACAGATTAGAATATTTCAAAAGCTTTAGTAAAGTGTAGAATGTACCAGCTGTATGATCCCTTTCTTTCTCTTTACGTTTCATATTAAATTAAATAAACTAAACTGTACCTGTGTACATGGGGGAAAAAAGCCACAAAGTACACAATACAATTATTAATCATAGCTACCCAAAGAAGGCAAGTGACAGACATGGATATCAGTAGTTGTAAGGTCAATATTTACCCCATCTACAGAGACATAGGCACGGTCGTGGACTCCGTTTAAAGGCGAAAAGAGTGGTGTTGGCTCACTACAATTTTTTGGCAGGGTAGTCCTGTACAGCACAAACCCAAAATACTAGAAGAAAACAATTAGAGAACCAAGTTATTCTGAAGCTACACTTGAGGCCACACAATGGAAACCAGTAACCAGAATTTCTGCCTACACATTAGAAGAGTAATTTCAACTTTCATACCCTGTCTGGAGCGATAATCACAAATGATTTCATATATCCTGGTTAAAATCTTGTCAAGTGATTTCCATCTTTAATACTCAATGTAAATTTCATAAAGTTTCCTACACATATTTACATAACCTTAAAGATAAAGGTCTCAGTTAAGATTTCTCCTCCTCTGCACCTCAATAAGATTAAAGGGTCATGAACTGAATCCACTGATTTTTATCCATTTTCAGTGAACTACTGACAACCGGAAAAAACGTAGCAACTGAAGCTTAGGTAACAAGCTAAAAGACTGCACCCTACAACCAAAAACTGATGCCAGTACTGCCTGTATAGGAGAACCAGCTGCTATGTTACTGGAACAATTAGGAATATTTTCATGTGAAATATTGCCATCAGGAGACAGTAAGATCAGAGCTGCTGGATTTGTTCCTGTAACAAATGAAACAAACACATTGAAACCATTCTGTTTTTCCCCAGTAACATTAACATAACACCACAGTCTGACATGAATTGGATTTTAACTTGGTTCCCAGCCTCTGGGGCAAGAAGAGGTGGGAGCACGGCAGTTCCAGCTAGGGTGACCAGATGTCCTGATTTTATAGGGAGAGTCCCGACATTTGAGGCTTTTTCTTATATAGGTGCCTATTACCCATCACCCCCGAACCGATTTTTCACACTTGCTATCTGGTCACCCTACTTCCAGCCAGTCACAGGTGACTACGAATGCATTCAACCAGCAGCACAGATGGTAGGAAAAAACAAAACAGAGGGAGGCTGTGACCATTATGGGCCGCCCCTTCTCCTGACATCTCTGAGGTCCCCATGAGACCAAGGCAGGTGACAGGGTGTAACAGCTGCAAAGACCAGCAGAGTGTGGAGAAGAGGAGCAATGCATAGAGGGTGAGCTGCTTGAAACATGACCCGATGAGCAGGGATGCTGAAACCAGGGGGCTGAGTGGTCAGGGGCTCCTTTTAAACCGCCTGCCTAGTTTCTTTTCATAGGGTCTTTCAGCAGCTGACTAGAGTGCCTGCTCTCTGCTCCCACAGAAGCACACAAGTAGCAGGACAGCTCCTGAGCCTCTCTCCCCCGGCTGGATCCTTCTGGTATGTGCAAGTAGAGGCAGAGAAGGAAAGCCATCCAGCTTACCGGCCGGTAGTTCTGCTTTGGCCAGGGCAGATCTGGGTTTTGAACCCAGCCCAGCTAACCTTCAGAATTGGGTTTTGAACCCATCCCATCCAGTGTCCTGGGACTACGGGGCAGGTAGCTGCTCAGCAGTCCCGCCCACCACACGTTTCCTAGTGGTTGCTTCTTTCAGCTGCAGGCAACTGGCTCCTAATCTGTACTTAGCTCAGCAGCGGGGGTGATCTGGGAGCCAGATGCATGCAGTGGAAAGGTGGGGCCACTGAGCAGCCAGGAGGGGAACAGAAAAGAAGTCGGAAGAAGGGGCAAAAGATGTGGGGAGAGGAGGAGGAGGAAGCCACGGCAAGAAGAGGAAGATGGGAGCAAGATGCTTTTTCAAGGGGTATTTTTCTAAATCAGCCAGTGGTGTAGAGGCCCCTTGGTGGATGGGATGTGTGCACTCTGATGAGTTCTGGGTGACTACTCTCTACCTTCTTCTACCTACATTCTGAAGAGGAAAGGAAGTAAAAATAAACAAGATCCCCACAAAACATCAACCTTGTGACCCTCTACCCCCATCCCCACAGATCCCCTGCCCTGTTTATCAAGAGAATTGTCCCTGGCAGATGTTTTGACACATCACCAACTATATACCAGAGAGAAAGAAAGAACAGACAGACCAAGGAAAAAGAGTGGGGAAAATCTGGAAAACAGGGAGGAACAAGGTGGAAGGGATCTTTGAAACCTAGTGCTTCACAGAGAGACTATAAAGGGGGAGAAAGAGCAAGAGAAATGGAGGAAGATAGTGAGGATGAATAAAAAGTGGAAAGCAGAGATAACAAAAATACATAAAAAGGGAGAGAGAAAATGAGCCAAAAAACCCCGGGTGAGATTCAGCAGTGATGCCAAAAATATGGTGGCCGCAGGAACGGATGGCGTCACAAATGGGGAGGGGACTCCAACCCAAGGAACCTGGGAACAACTACTGTAAGAAGTACAACACTGCAAGATTTAAAGAACCGAGTTCAGACATGGTTTAAGACCTTTCACCCCAATGCAGTGATATCAAGGCTGAATTTCATGTAAGATTTGGAAAATGATCACTTAGTAGTTACATGAGAAAGTCTTACCTGCTGCAGCTGAACAAAGGTTAAGGGGTAAGTGCTTCTTATTGGCCCAGAGGGTGACAGGTCATTAAGAAGCTCTGCTACTGTGCCTAGCTGCAATGCAGAAAAAGCAGATTTAGACTGGTCATAAAATTCAATGTTTAATTAGTAGCTAAATAAGACAAGACAACAATATGGTCCAAATTCTGCTCTCAGTTACTCTGGTGTAAATCTGATGTAACTACTGACTTCCAATGAATTACTCCAAATTTATTATCTGAGTAGCTCGGAGCAGAATTTGGCTCTGTCAAATATCATCTAAGAGGACTTTTAAAATAACTGAACCCACATTTATTTTTGAAGCAGTAAGGCCCCAATCCAGCAAGATGTTTAGGCACAAGTTGAAATTTAAGCATGTAATCAGTCCACAGACTTTAGTAAGACAATGCACAAGCTTAAAGTTAAACATGTGCTTAAGTCCCTTTTCTGAATCGGTCCAACAGGCACAAATATACTGCAGGTTAACATACCTATGATGCCCTCTGATCTCTTTTTGAGATGATAAAAGCTCTCTTTCAGACTATGTTTCTCTCTCAACATTTGATGTGGATTCTATTTATTAGTCAGGATGCACACAATATGCATAATACCCTCTCTGGGCTCAAAGGTTCAAGTGTTTGGGGGTTTTTTAAATAAGAGCATCAGAATTTTAGTCTATTTTACATAAGTGTCTCCACGGGCCCAGCGTAAATTGTACATTGGTGATTCCAAATATTTTCCAAAGTCAGTATTTGCTTTCAAGTAATGTTGCAGAAAAGCCACTACAAAAAGTGGCACTTAAAATGCTGTAGAATTCGATATATATTTTATACACATTCACAGTAAAAAGAAAACAATGAAATGCTGGGTGTTTCAAAATAACAAAAGAGCAAGCTTTTGGACAGGCACATTCAAAAATGAGAAGTGCTGCAACATTAAAAACAAACATCAACATGATGTATGCAATCGTTTCTACACGTGCTTATAGGATAACATGAATCATCTATTCACATGCAATCATTGATTTTGTACATAAAAATAGAGTGACTACTCAAAAGACAGTAGTCTGGATATAAGTGGGCTATTCATGCAATAATCTTTTAAAATTTACCAGTTCTATGGCATGCACATGACCATGGTAATGGAGTGCTTCCCAAAATTATCCAGTGTACACAAAGGAAGGTTATTTCTCTTCCCTCCAGCAAGCAGGGAGTGGACTCTTTTGGAGGAGGAGAGAAGTGGGAGGAACATGGCTTATTGTGGTACGGCCAGGTCAAAGTAGTGGGTTTTGTATTTTGCTTTGACCGTACTGAGGTTCATGGTCCATGCCAACCTCTTTGTGCAAGAAATCCAGATTAATGTATTAGTCACCTAGAAAGCTAGGTCTTCTGCACACAAGTTTGATTCTTGAGGTTGACAGTTCATCGTTCCAGTGGCAAGTAGCTGTTGTTGGAGATCATAATCAAGCAGAGAGATGATCCCTCAGGCAATCTCGGCTAATATACAGTATATGGATACAGCATGTGGAGTAACTGGCCAATTAAAAATCCTGTGGCCTGATTCTCAGAGATGCCATGGATCTGCACCTCCCATTTATGTCACCAGAAGCTGTGGATGTTAGGGATGTAAATATCGTTTAAAAAGTTAACCGGTTAAACGATTAAAATTATATTGTTTAACAGAGCACAGGGCTGGGACTGCTCCTGCAATCAGCGGGTGCGGCCCGGGGCCGCTGCTGGGGTCAGTGTGGCCTGGGGTCGCTGGTCCACCGGTGCGGCCGCTGCTCCCACCGGACGGGCTGGCGTTGGCCAGCCAGCAGGCCATGGGGCTGCTCCGGCCAGCGAGGCTGGGGCTGGGGCTGCTCCAGCCCGCCCAGGATGTACACATAGCTATGTGTAATTTTACTCACTATCGAATATATACTAGCTCAGAGAAACCTTATAAGGCAGCCTCTCGGACCACCCAAAAGTATGCTTAGACAGAGGGGGCAGTTCTGCTTCACCTTGACTGGATAGTCATTTCTGTGAGAAATTTCACTTCTGTAGACCACTTGAGCTGGATGACTTAAGACAGGCTGTGCTGTATTATCTGTTATCAGTACTGAATGTTGCAACACTTCATATGCCATAGCAAAATGGGTCAGGCTTATCAATCAAAAATGCTGTCTGCCCAAAACTAAAGAATTACAGAACACCATCCAAAACTTATGAATTATACTACATCCAACTTACCAACTCCTCCAAACAAACAAAAATGTCCTTTATAGCATATAGAGTATTTATTTGCAAAACACAGCACCTCCTCTCTTCCCGTCCTTCTCTTTCCTTTCAATCCACCAGCAGCTAAAGCAGCCTCTCATTAAACTTTTCTCTTCAGCAGGCTGTGAAATAAACCCCAAGGGCTTACCCAAACTTTGAGTTATCCAAAGGCTGGATAACTAGAGCTATACAAATATCACTCATTTTAGTGAGATTTAACACATAGCACAGTGTATGTTATAAACATTGCATTTTATTTACAAGTCATGTACACTGACATATTTCCTTTTGGTGTAATAGGGTAAGGTAAACGTTAGTAATTAGTGGAGGTAATTTTGAGACCAGAGTCAAAATGCTTGTCAAACTGAATAAACCCCATTTTACACAGCTAATTTTGGCAAAGCAGTGTTAGTCCTATGGCTTAGCACTTCCATAGTGCTTTTCATCTGCAGATCTCAAAGAGGTTAACAAAATTATCATCCTCCCATTTTACAGAAGGGGAAACTGAGGTAGAGGTTAACTGATTTACTCAAAGTCAGACAGCAAGAAAATGGCTGAGCCAGGAAGAGAAGTCAGAAATCCTGTCACCTAGTCCCATGCCCTATATCTGTCTCTCCTCAAGAGGGTTAAGAAGCCTTTTATCTCTGAGTTTCTATTCTCTCCTCTCTGCTCCTTTATATAGTGCCCGTAGATGGACATTCCAACTTTATAAAAACATTCCTTACAAAGAAACAAGTATACACGCACAGATAGACCTACAGGGTAACAAATGAACATTTACCTTCTCCATTGTCACTCGCCCATATGCATATTTGGGTGTTGTTGGCGGGATAGGGCCCTCAGGTAAGTGATTATACTAGGAAAGTAAGAGAGACCAAATGAAACTTTAATATGAAACATATTTTAACCAAATTCTCATCTAAGGGTACGTCTTCACTTTAGACCTCAACCCAGAGCCCCCCCCACACCCTGAACTCCTCATTTCTGGCCGCACCCCCTGCTGGAGCCCACACCCCCTCCTGCACTCCAACCCCCGGAGCCAGCCCGGTGAAAATGAGCGAGTGAGGGTGGGAAGAGCAAGTGACAGAGGGAGGGGAGATGGAGTGAGCAGGGGTGGCGCCTAGGAGCCAGAGGGGGGGATATGCTGCTGCTTCTGGGAGCCGCAGGGAGACTGCCTTAGCCCTGCTGCGCTGCCGAGCGGACTTTTAAACAACCCGGTCAGCAGTGCTGACCGGAGCCGCCAGGGTCCCTTTTCAAACGGGTGTTCCAGGTGAAAGCCAGACACCAGGCAACCCTAGTTGGTATAGGGTGGGCATAAGAGGAAGTTACTCATCTTGTGCAGTAACGATGGTTCTTCGAGATGTGTCCCCCTATGGGTGCTCCACTATAGGTGTGTGTCCCTGCGCTTCTGATCAGAGATTTGTGTAGCAATGTCCGTTCGGCCCACACATACACTCCCCTACCCCGTGCTCTGCCTTATAGAATCATAGAATATCAGGGTTGGAAGGGATCTCAGGAGGTCATCTAGTCCAACCCCCTGCTCAAAGCAGGACCAATTCCTAACTAAATCATCCCAGCCAGGGCTTTGTCAAGCCTGACCTTAAAAACCTCTAAGGAAGGAGATTCCACCACCTCCCTAGGTAACCCATTCCAGTGCTTCACCACCCTCCTAGTGAAAAATTAGCCTCGAGGCTAATTAGCGTTGAACGGGTGAACCACCCTCAGTTCCTTCTCTATCACAAAGCCTCTGTTGAGAACTCCAAAAGTAGAGGGGAGGAGGGTGGGTTGTGGAGCACCTATAGGGACACACATCTTGAAGAACCATCATTACTGCACAGTGTGAATAACTTCCTTTTCTTCTTCAAGTAGTGTCCCAAGAAGTGCTCCACTGTAGGTGACTCCCAAGCAGTATCCCAGATGGGAGGTTGGGGCTTTGGAATCAAGTCTGTTATGGATGATAACACTGCGTAGCTGAAGTTAGCATTGGAAGCAGAGTTCCCAGTAACCATGTAGTGTTCTGCAGTGGTATGCACGGATGCCCAGGTGGCTGCTCTGCAGATTTCCGAGATAGGGACATTTTTGACGAAGGCGACCGAGGAGGAAACCGACCTCGTGAAGTGTGTGCGGATTAAAGATGGAGGTACTACACTGCAAACCTCATAGTAGTGTTTGATACAGTTCGAGACCCATTTGGAGAGTCTTTGGGACGATAATGCTGCGCCTTTAGACCTATTTGGAATGGAAAGGAAGAGCTTAGGAGATTTCCTAAAAGCATTCATCCTGTACAGGTAGAAGGCCAGGGCTCTCCTAACATCTAGAGTGTGAAGTATGGCCTCTCCGTTATTGCAGCGAGGCTTAGGATAAAAGGTTGGGAGGTGAATCGGTTGGTTCATATGAAAAGATGAGGTCGCCTTGGGTATGAACTTTGGGTGCAGCCTGAGAGTAGCCCTGTTGTGAAAAAAGACTGTAAAAGGGGGGCGCGCCATCAGTGCTGCTATCTCCCCATTTCTCCTCACCGAGGTGATTGTGATCAGAAATGCTGTCTTCATTGACAAGTGTGTAAGCGAACAAGTGGACACAGGTTCAACGGGTGGTCTAGTTAGGCTCTTTAAAACTAAGTTCAGGTCCCATGTTGAGATGGGATGTCTGGGTTGGGGAAAAGAGGTTTGCTATGCCCTGGAGGTATCTCTTTGTAGCTGGGTGTGAGAAAACTGAGTATCCCTCTATTGGTTGATGGAAAACCACTGTGGCTGCCAGGCACACTTCGAGCGAACTGAGAGATAGACTACATACTCAAGATGTCAGGGTTAAAACCACAGGGAGAGTAACAGATGCCAGGATAATCTGCCTGGAATTGCACCAAACTTGAGACTGGTCCACTTTTTCAGGTAAGTACGACTGGCAGTCAATTTCTTACTGTATAGTAACACTTTCTGCACCTCAGAGCAGAAGCTCTCTATGTATTGGATCCATGAAGGAGCCAGGCCTTTAGCTGGAGTATCCGCAGGTTGGTATGGAGAGCGCATCCTTCATTCTGCAAGAGGCGGTAAGGAGTGGGTTGAAGAGGGATTGGTGGACACGCCGGCAGCTGTGACAGCGATGGGTATCACATCAGTCTTGGCCAGTTGGAAGCAATCAGTATGACGTTTGCTTCTTCTCTTTTTATTTGTGACAGGATCTTCAGCAGCAGAAGGAATGAGAGGAAGGCGTATAGAAGGCCCTCGTCCCTTGGAAGAAGAAGAGAGTGTCCAAGGCCAGCCCTGGAGCAGCGGCATGGGCATTTCTTGTTCCGGTAAGTGACGAACAAGTATATTGTCAGTGTCCCCTATTGACTGAATATGCTGTGAAGTACTACTGGGTTCATTTCCCACTCGTGGTTACATGAGAACTTGCGACTAAGACTTTCTGCTGTTGTATTCTGCACTCCCGATAGACAGGCCACTGACAAAAGAACATTATGGGAAATGCACCAGTTCCAGAGCTTTAGCACTTCTGCGCAGAGGAGGACAATCTGGTGCCTCCCTGGCAATTTATATAGTACATGCACACGATGTTGTCCATCATGACTTTCCTGTGTGTACCTCTGATCAGTGGAAGAAAAAGTGAACATAAGTGTTCCTGACTGCTCTGAGTTCGAGGAGGTTGATGGGAGAGTTGCCTCCATGGGCGACCATTTTCCCCAAGTCATGAGGTTGTTGAAATGTGCAACCCACTCTATCAGGGATGCTTACGTAATGAGTAGTAGTGTTGGGGCGGGGACTGTGTGAGTGGGCCCCTGTGCAAACAGTTGTTGAGTCTTTCCACCAATCCAGGGAGCGTTTGACCCAGAAAGGCATTGAGAGAGGTTTGTCTAACCTGCCTTTTTTTGGCCTGTAAACTGAGCTGAACCACATCTGCAGGCACCTCATGTGAAGTCTGGCAGGAGATATTACAAACATGCCCGCCACCACGTGCCCCAGAAGCTGGAGGCAATGTTTGGCCGATGTCTGAGGGCTAGTTTGCACTGTCTCTATAAGTGCGGACAGGCTGGGAAATCTGTGCTGTGGAAGGAGCGCTCTCGTTTCCAGTGAGTCGAGATCGCCCCCTATAAATTCCAAGCATTGTACTGGAATTAGGGTCAATTTTTGGATGTTGACTTGTACGCCCGGTTTTGTGAATATGTCCATAGTTCTGTGGGTGGCCCGTAGGGCTTCTTCAAAGGAGCAGGCCTGAGGAGACAGTTGTCTAAGCATGGGTAGATCATGATCCCCTGGGTATGCAGGTGGGCCGCCACGATGGAGAGGACCTTGGAGAATACTCTGGGAGCCAACAAGAGGCCAAAAGGGAGTACTCCATGCTGATACTGATCCTGACCCAGAGTAAATCGGAGGAATTGTCTGTGGGATGGCAGGATCAATATGGGGAAATATGTACTTGAGGGCCGAGAACAAATCTCCCTGTTCCAAAGATGGAATAATCGCCACTAGTGTGACACATCTTGACTTTTTGAGCCTTGATATATTTGTTCCGTGCTCTGAGATCCAGTAAAGGTCTCCAAGCTCCAGTTTTCTTGGGGATCAGGAAATATCAAGAGTAAAAACTTTTGCCTCAGAGATGCAGTGGGACAGGTTCTATGGCTTCTAGGCAGAGGAGTTAATCCAGTCGTAACAGTCTCTCGTGAGAAGGGTCCCTGAAGAGGATTGAATACACATGGGAGATAATTTCCAAAACCCAACTGTTGGATGGATTCCCAGTTGGGACTGAACAGAGCAAGGCCATAACCAAAAGGATGAGAGAGGTTGGAAAGTGGCAGCTGTTGTCAAAGGCAGTGGTCTCTCAGGGCCTCGACCAAGGTGTCAAAACTGATGTTTTGAGGTGGAAGATTGCAATGTTGAGAATTGAGGTCCTGATGGTTTGCACCTCAGAAACGTGGACCTTTTCCCTCTGTGGCTCATAATAGAGTTGTGGGGGGAATTGCAGAGTATGCAGTTTGTGAGAAGACTGAGGGCTACATTCTTTTTTTTTGTCCGGGCGTCTTGATCCCCACTGACCAAAGTGTGGCTCTGGAGTCCTTAAGCGTGTGGAGCGATGCATTGGTCTTCTCAGGAAACAACTTAGAGCCTTCAATGGGGAGGTCTTCGACAGATGTCTGAATCTCCTTTGGGAAACCCAAAAGATGCAACCACGAAGCTCACCGCAACACAACTGCCGTTGAGATGGAACCGGCCACTGTATCAGCCGCATCAAGTGCTGTCTGCAGTGGTGTTTTGGCCACCAACTGCCCCTCATCGATAATGGCTCAGAATTGTTTCCGTTGTGACTCCGGTAGATGATCAGTAAAGATGCTGAATTTGGCATAGTTCCTATAGTCGTGCTTTGCCCTTAAGGCCTAGTAGTTTGCAATTCTGAATTGCAAAGTAGCAGAAGAGTAGGCCTTCCTTCCAAATAAGTCAAGGCACTTCCAATCCCTATCATAAGGGGTGGATCTGGAACGATGTTGGTGGCCACAGGAGTTAACTGCTTATATCACAATGGAATTAGAGGGAGGGTGGGGGGAAAAAATTCCGTATCTGTGGGGAGGGAGGTGTACATAGTACTTTTTAAATTGGCCCTTTTGCCTATTGGTGTGGCCAATGCTGGTGGTTGCCATATGAGCTTAGCTGGGTCCAAAAGCTATCCTCAAGGAGGAGGATGTACGTAAAATATCCAGCAGCTTATGGTGAGTCTCTATTATCTCCTCTAGAAGTATTAGTAAGGTATCTGCCACCCTCTTCGTAAGGTCTTGGAAGAGCTTAAAATCATCTGTCATAGATAGTGGAGGGAGCATAACTGTCTCTTCTGAAGGGGAGGAAGAGATGTTAGTATGTGTTAACAACC